TATTATTATCATATAATCTACAATTATTATTTTCGGCTCTTCCTCTGGTTTCAAAAAGGCCTATTGATCATGCAGTTAGGGGTCAGTAATTCCACACAAAGTTCCAAGACAGGGTTGCCTTTGACAGTTTTAGTTTTGTCAAGTAAGACACGTCCAATCTTGCTAAATCTCAACTGAGCTGCGGAGGGTAACGATGCCATTCGGGTCAACAAAATTGATTTTTTTGTGAGTTCTCTTAAAGTATTGTCATACTGTGAATGGAGGGATGATCTCGACTGGGACCAGTAGTGTTGTACTTTCACTTTCTTGAATTCTTTACTTCTTTGTGCGTAACAGTAAGTCATTTTATTCCTTTTAGGCTTTATTTTACATCTCCTGTTATCCGCATGGAAGTATACAACCCTATACAAAAACAAAAAAAGGACGCACTAATGCATATTAAACCTTAACCAACAGCACAAATGCTTCAACCTGCCCTTTTTCTTTTACCACCGCTTTCTATAACTCTTTTTATTGTCCCTTTACCATTTGCGTCTTCCTATTCCCGGAAGAGAACGATTACCACATTCGCTAGCTTCAATTATATCGATCCTGCTTACCATATGTGACGTTCCACTTTAACATGATAAAATTGCTCTCACAACAGAGCAGCACTCACACAAAAGCCGAAGAAGAATCGTTTTAACCGACTTTCCCTTCTTCAGAATCCTCCCCCATCTCCCTTTCAAGACTTGGAACGGAGAGACAAGCAAATTCTTGAAGCAAAACTACCCGAAGCTGTGTGATTACATAAAGCAAGTTCTTCGTTTTCTGGGCAGGTAATAGAGCAAGCCAGCAAAATTATGCCGAAGGACGGGTGATCAGTGCTTGCCGCCAACCCTCACGTTATGACCAGAATTCTCTTTGAGCTTCCTTCGCTTTCATCACTGGCGTCGATTTCGGCATGAGCTTTTCCGTAGCTTGTATTGCCGCTGTTTTACTTCTGGGCTGTGAGGCAGCCACGGATTATTTCCAAGACTTCAAAGGTGAGTGTTATGAATTGAAAACAACGCTTGTGATTGACTTTTGAAGTGGGCAGGAGTGAAGATGTGGGATGGGTGAAGTGGTATAATTTGAAGAACAAGATATTATAGAGCTTCATGTATACCCTTACCTCGCTCTTTTAACCCACAGGCTTTCCATGATTGTGCCAGACTAGTGTGTTGTAAATGAGACAGGATAATAATGATGTTGGTAGATATCAAAGTAGATCATGTAGGGATAAAAATACACTGAAGGTATCTACGCAGAGAAAAAAGGCAATAACTATATCAGGAATGGGGAGCGTGCTTTGCGATGAATGCGACACCGAATATCTACGAAATAGTGCAGTGGACTGGCACACAATATGCCTCGGTAGAGTTCTCTTCTTGTCATGTTCATGTGATAAAAGTAAAGCTCCCTCCACCATTTTGGGCTGCTAGACCTGGTGCGTAATATGTAATATCTGGAGTCACTGTGGGCGTCTCTGTGGGATTGTGATCATACCCCCCCCCGTGCTGTTATAGCTGTTACTCGCGCAAAGAAATCGAGAAAGGGGAAAATTTTACGAGTGTATTTTATTGTATTTTAAAGATGAACATAGTACTATTCCTCTGCTCACTCAGCAGCTAATGAGTACTTTGACAGTCGAAAAAAATTATTGACTTACAGGCTACATACGTGTATTCCTTTACAAACACCATATCTGTTCCTTTAAAGTAAGTTTTAATAGGTACATATTATGTTTTAAAAATTGGAATGCATTAATAATTAAGATATGAACTGTCAGCTAACTCAATACGATCTTAAAGCATTAAATTTATCAAGATTTGGAGCAATAAGGAGAGCAAATTAGTTTTTTGGACGGTTTTATACTTATTCTAGTATGACCAGCTGTAATATCATAACTTTCCATTGAGTCTTTGTCAGATATTTGCACAACGTGCTTTAAAAAGCGTGTGAATTCCAAACAAGAAACAGAGATTCATTGCCTTTCCCTCTTGGACAATAATTTATTTATTGCGTCTGTAGTGGCTTAGCTATGGAGAGTGCAATTTACTTATATTGTACATGGCTACGACCGATAACTTGAAGCTCGTTATACAAAACGTAATAGCCTCCACGAGACAGGATTATACTATAAAGATATCAGATTTGTTTTCAAGCTCATTATCGGTTATTTTTTGTCCGATTTAACTTCTGGAATTTGTATTATGCTGACATTTTTAATGGTTATGTATATATTTATATATATATATATATATATATATATATATATATATATATAGATATATATATAGGTAGGTAGGTAGATAGATAGATAGATAGATAGATAGATATTATAATAATAACAAAATAGTATAATATAGAGAGCAAATGATACACAAAAAGCTATTTTTGCCTTAATTAAATAACCATCAATGGTAGAAGACTCAAATTACACTATTGATAATATGTCATAATATGTTCTTTGGAAATCAAAAGTCGCCTGTCTTGCTTCTCACCGGAAAATAGAGTATTGCCCCTTAATTGAAAAGGGAAAAAGCCACGTGGTGCCTTCAAAACACGGTCTAAATGAGCGGAGAAAAGTGTGAAAAGTATTCACCTGAGCTCGGCTATGAAAGTCGTGGTAATATATCAGTTCGGCCGCTTCGTCTGCATTTGCAACGACAGTGGTGCATTTCAGTTTCAGGGCTATTCAGTGAGAAAGAGCAACAGGCCGTTTGCAGGGTGGAGAAAGGAAAATTGTGATCACCAATCATTTTGGTGTTCACATTTCGACTATCCAAAAGGTGATAACCCGTTTTCAACTCAATAATTCTACGGTAGACCGAAAAAGGTCAGGTCGACCCAGAGTGAATGGTGCGTGTGCAAATTGACACATTATCCGGATTTATCGTTCAAATCGACTTCAGACAGCGATAAGAATGTCAGATTCGATAGCGGGTACCCACGGACGAGCCAGAAGTCGACACACAGAGAAGCGACGATTACGTCAGGTAGACCTCAGACGCCGTCGACATTACCATGGTCCACTCTTCACCGCACACCATCGCCAAGGGCGTCTCAACTGCGCCCAGCACCATGTCAACAGGCGTCTGAGTGAGAGACTGGTCTTCAGTTCTCATTTTCGTACGAATGACTATTCTCCATAAATACAACAAACAGGGGACTCAGAGTTTATCAGGAGGGAGGAGAACGTTACTGTGACAGCTGTGTCATAAAGAGGAATCACTGAGGAGGACATCACGTCATGATCTGGGTTGGAATCATGTGAAACCACAAAGTAGGACCAATAATCTTCTAAAATCAAAGCCAAGGCTGAGGTCAAGGTAGCAATGCTGCTCGCTGTATAGCAGAAGCCCTTAGGTCCCATAACACAGATGAAAGTTTTAACTAGATCATGCTTGTGCGCACACTTCCAGCGTTATACAGGATTTCCACCAACGCCATGACATCACTCCACAGCCCCGAACTGCTCTTAGCACTGATTTAAACCCAAATAAACATTTTTGGGACAAAAATAATCGAGGCATCGAGGAGAGACGACCAAGGCCGAGAACCACGCATGAACTGTATGTGGCCATCCAGGAGAAATAGAGGAACATCCCGCTACGATTTACCAACAACCTAGTGGATTCCTTGTACCGGAAATGTACTGCGGTTAATCGATCTACTGGTGGCCAGTGGCCAAAAACACTTATGAGCATTTTGATGCATTAACGGAAGTTGAAAATGTTTTCCGTAAAAAGAAAATATTCACAGTGATGCCCCAAGTATTCTTTCATAACACCAGAAAACAGTTTGTGTTTCAATTCCCCCGTTTTGTAAAAAAAAAAAAAAAACGGAAAACGAACATGATTACCATTGCAAAGGTAAACAGGATTTCGCTTTTCTTTTGCTCGCTAGTATGTATAGATATATACATATATATATATATATATATATATATATATATATATATATATATATATATATATATATATATATATATATATATGGGAGTGTCTACGTTCTCTAATGCTCAGTGCTTCCAAACGTGGCATAGAATCCCGCTCCCGAAAACTTGGGGGGGGGGGGGGGGGAATTGTTTGTTTGTTGTTTTCCTCCCGATCGGCAGATGAGGTCTGTGGGATTTTCTCCCAGCGGGGCAAAATAGGAAGCACTGAATGTTAGAAAACGTAGACAGCTTGTATATATTCGCAAGAGGGCGACCCTGGAAAAAAATCCCTATATATATATATATATATATATATATATATATATATATATATATATATATATATATATATATATATGTGTGTGTGTGTGTGTGTGTGTGTGTGTGTGTGTGTGTGTGTGTGTGTGTGTATGTATGTATGTGTTTTTATATATGTATATTATATACATAGCTGCATGAAGAAAACCTTGAGACCATCTTAAGCTAAGCTAAATTGTCAGTCTGCATAGACGAAAAGAGCCATATTATTATTATATATATATTTGTGTGTGTGTGTGGGTATGTGTGTGTATGAATGTGTGCTTGAGTGTGTGCGTGTTTGTGTGTGTGCGTGTGTGTGTGTGTGTGTGTGTGTGTGTGTGTGTGTGTGTGTGTGCATGTGTGTGTTTTAATTAAACTTTGCATTGTAAAAACATTTCAATTTCAGAGGCCCGTGAACAAAACACTCCACTCTGCTCGGATCCTCCTCCTGTCGCGAATTCTTACAGGTAGGGGACGCCATTTCTAACTTCTAAATTACTCGACGCTGTGCCTAGGGGCTCCACAAAAGATTAAAAAACCGTTCCTGCCTTTGGTCAATGTCTCGAAAGAGGGAAGAACTAGCTGTATATGACGATGGTACGGACAGTAATTACTGAAGCAGTTTTTATGCCACTGTATTCATTTCCAAAGAAAGATATGAGTACAACTCTTGTACAAAAAAAAGCGCTTATGTGTCACTACCAATGTTATCATTGTTAGCTTCAATAGCTCATATTGCAGAAGAGTGAGGAATTGTCTATCTTGGTTTCGATGGTACTGACTGTAAAGAGAACTCAGCTGAATTGACAGTAGTCAATGCAGTGGAACCGTGGAACATCATACAATTTTCATCACATACAGACTTCTGTTTACTCTAGCTTTTAAAACAGTGCACTAAACAGTCCTCAAATTGGGTCAATTAATTGAAGTATAACGTCAAATATTGAATAATACGTTTTTCCGGTTCTAACCACTCTTGTGTTTAATGCCATCGATTTACATCATAATCGATAGTTGCCACTTCATATGTTGGTCGAATTATGCAGTTAAGATTTGCTTTAACGCCTTTTGGCTAAGCAAAATGTGTTGACAAGGCTATGCACCAAATGAGAAATCAATTCAATGTATAAACAAACTCTATTATATCCACTAATATTAAACAATTTCATATGTTTGTGAAAAGTACTGAAAACCTGTGCTAAGCCAGTATAGCCAGGGCTATAATTCCCGTCAGGTTTAACACTTGCACGGTAGCTTGGGTGAAATGCTTACTCATTCTTGTGTACAAACACTGCACAGTTCAAGCAACCCAAGGAATCGACGGTAGTGCCAAGGAATCAATTTCAACTGTCGAAAAGAAAATAATTATTATGTGAGGTAGAGTTGGATACTATTCCATATTAAATCTGACTTGGACCTCATTACGCCAGCAGACCATTTATCGTCATCATCATAAAGTGCCAGATCTGAAACAGATATCGGCGAACATGTTAATATAATTTGAAACTGGAGTCAGAGAGAATAGATTTAAGCGCAATGGGCGACACATTGCGACAGGACAGTTGCCTTGGATTTATTTGTATATCTATAACTGTTATTAAACTACCTCTACATTTTTACAAGAGATAACCGATACGAATTCAGTGAGACAGAAACATGTGTGCAGATATTTCTGAATCCTCTGACGTCTTCAAGTCTGTCGTTCTGTTCATCTTTAGATTATTATTACGCTCCCCCCCCCCCTTTCCATCCCAAGGCAGTACTACTGACTGAAGCTGTCTTTTGGGGAATAGAGAGATTATGCTTTAAGAAGTAAAAGACTGATGAAGAAAAGTTGTGAATAACAGGTGCACTTTTTATCAGACCTATTATTATCAAAACATAATGCTTTATTTCCACGCACCTTCAGCCCCCCACCCCCACCCCCTCACCCTCCCCCGAACCCCCAAAAGCCCACACATTTGTTGACTTAAATATTTTGGAGCTGGTCATTAAATGGGATATCACGCCCCTCAAACACCTATGTTTCAAAAGACTGTAAACACATATTTAGGTGATTGAAGGGTACCACTGGTAATTCTTTATACCGCCGCCCCACCCCTTTTCTGTCTCCGTCTGTCAGTTTCACTTTTGGCTTTGTCAAAATGAGCTTTTTTTTTCTTTCTAATTTTTTCCATATACCTACATCACTGGCTTAAACAATACTAAACTATATCCATACCATTCTACACTATACCCATTAATATGAGACAGGTTAGAGTGGTTCGTATCCCATCATCCTTCAACAGGTGGTCAGTCCCGAACGGAGTGGAATACCAGTGCGTGGAGGGCTATGACCCCCCTGGAGTAATCAAAACTGTGGGCTGCGTGAACTCCGTGTGGGAGGGACAGCCACCCGTTTGCATATGTGAGTGGAATACAGAAATATATCTTTCTTTATAAATCTAGACTTCTGGATTCATATGCATTCTGTCTAGCTAAGAAATGTCCCACCCAAATACGATGGGATTTATATGTGCCGTATCTGTCCCTGGTTCACTGAAAAAACATTTAGCTGATTTGCTAGCAGAAACGTGGGTCATATGGTGCTGGGCAAAAAGAGTGATATGTCGGTCACTGTCATTACTAAGGAACTTATTAATATCATAATCCTTGTAGGACTGCACCTCCTGGGCGTCATGACATGAGAACTCCTTTAGCTCTATAGATACTGTGCTGAACTACGGTACGGATGGTACTGATTCGATTCTTAACAGTGTTTTTGCTCTTCTTTTGCCGTTGAGGGAGTTTTCAAGCCCCCCCTCCCCCCACCCCACCCCCACACACACACTAAGTCCACTTGGCTTAGACGTTGTTGAGATGAACGTTAAATTTGGAGAGTTATGCCTATACCATACCAGACGAGCGTTCTCGCCAGTAGGGATATAGTGAATTTATCGTTAAGAGGTCATTGGAGGTAACATAAATACAAAGCAAGAGCTTCTCTTTTTGTGAAACAGTGCTAAAATTTCGTCACCAGAAAGACCTCTTGTACAAGGATTTTAGAAGTGAACGACTTTTTGAATCCGAACTTCAGGAACATGTACAAAGTGCCCCTACCCTGCTGCGAAAGTAGGCCAATAACTTCGCACTTTGCAGACTCTGCTGGGGACGTTTTTTTTTACTTCCAATGTCTCCTATATTAACTAATTACTTCGACAGCTTCATGGTCTCTAATTGACAAACTTGTTCCAACATTTGTATAATGATAAACGACATGTATATGGTGTGATCATACAGGATTCGTTCCAAGGCGTATGTGTTGTAAATATGAGATTCTTCTATGTTGCGTAAAGAATAATTCTGTTAGATTCTGCTTCGAGAAAATATGTTATTAAGTGTCTCCGAGTATCTGCTTGAAATCTGTATTCTGATCAGCCTGTTATGACCCTGACGACGGGCAGGATCGAAACTTACTCGTCCTATATAACAAAAATGTTGTCATTTGGCGTAAAACGTTTATATAGTTTTTCTTTATATTATTTTCTTGGGTACACAAAAGTGGACTGTGGAAAGCCTCCTGTCGAGGTAGGGGCTAGCGTCACTGGTGTCACCAGCAGCGCGAAGAATTATGTCGGTGGGGACCCTGCGGAGGCGCACTATGAATGTGGGGAGGAGTACAACCAAACAGTTGAAGACCCTAAGATGACATGTCAAGATGACCAGGGCCGCTGGGAAGAGACGAGAGTGTTTTGTATAAGTGAGTATTCTTCGTTTAAGATCGTCATCAACTGTGTGAACGAACAAAAGAGCAGATAACTAATAAGGGAGCACTGGACGTGCAAGCAAAGTGAAGAAACCGACAGAAAAGAGTGTTCAGAGGGCACTACATTCGGAGGTCCCGCTTCTCAAATGGCCTTAAAATGTTGAAAAGGAGTATAAACTTATACAACAGCTTACAACAGAACTCGTTATAACTTTTGACTAAGTGTATAGGGCAGATCTGAGTCTGAATTACAACAATCTACCAAGTAGAATGAAACTGTTCTTTTTTTTTTGGAAGGTCTTTTTTTAGGGAGGGGGGGTTATGTGGTCTTTAAAATGCTGTAGTTTACCATAGAAAATACTATGTGAAGCGACTAATACTTTCTATTGCCTGGCAATAAGAATAGCCAGCAATGCAAACACATACACCTTCTTTTAAAGTATTGTGAACATATGGAAAGTCTCGGAAACATAATTCTAGCATTCGGACACACACACACACACACACACACACACACACACACACACACACACACACACACACACACACACACACACTCACACACACACACACACACACATAGAGAAGTGGCATACAGGTTAAATTGCAAATCCGTACTTATCAAGTAATTTCACATGAACTTTCCTAGTACATGTAGTAGGAAACACATTTATTGAAACCTGATCCTTATTTATTAGGCAATCACTCACTATCAAACAGGGTTCTTACGTTTAAAAAATATTAAAACTCCCGTATCATCTGTTTGCACTTGAATTTGTTATACTATGTACCTCCTAGATCCATCCAGTATTCCACTGTCCAATGACACCAACACTCCGGACAGTGAATGCTCTGTGGTCAATCTGACACCGTACGACCCGCCAGTTACATACATAGCAGAAACAGCAGATGCCGATGATGAGATTGTGTCAGTAGAACTATACATGGAGCTGAGTCTGTTGGGTGACGGTGAGGCCCTGTTTGTGTGCGTGTCTGTGTTTGTGTATGTGTGTGTGTGTGTGTGTGTG